CCCCCCCCCCCCCCCATCTACCCAATCTGATGAAATAGCGTTTACCCTCCTTCTTTTTTTCCCTCCCCCCCTCTAAATAAATAACGACCGGTCCCTTAGTCATCTTCATAGTCAAAGTGAGTTTTATCACGTCAGTTGATGGTATTAAACCCTCGTTATTGACCTGATTGGTCAATTTAGTCGCCATGTTGTTGGTCGTCTCTCAGTTAAGCCGTGATGTTATTGGCCATTATTATTCATTCAAAATATTTCCCCAATTCTGATTGGCTAAAAGCACACGAATAATTAACCATATTCAGTTAATGATGACCAAATTTGGAAGAAGTTTGTGTCTAACGAGGAAATGACGTCAAAAATGTAGCCCGCTACAGGTTAAGGCACCGTTACCGAGAAGACCTGGGGACTAGGTATAGTTGTCAAACCTTGTGAGAGGTCGGGTTGCACGATAAACTGTAGGTATGTGTCGGTTTTCTGTAAATTATCGTCCGTAGTCTGTTGTTTTCGCGAGTGACCAAAGCAGTCTAGAAAAGGTTTTTTACCATTTTCGTCGATCTTCTTGGTAAAGTATTAATTAATTAATAGACATTCTGTTCGTCGAAGAGAAAAAAAACATCGTGTTACCTTTTGGCATCCATCGCCGTAAACATTAATGTTGATTGGTTTTTCCGAATCTGTGCAGAGGTTCTGTAAATTGAAAAAGATAAAACGAGTGTTATGTTTGTCGATACCAAAAGAAATAAAGTTAAGCAAATTCATATTCCGTCCTTATCGCCTCTAAGGAAACTTTTCAAGAAGTTCAAGCTGAGAGAATTCAAGAGAAAAATTCTAACCTTTGCGTCATACCTTAAAAGGGGCTTTAAAATGTAGCTAAGAATTGTATGTTAGCTTTTCTTTTGGAGTTCACTTGAAAATTGAGACGGAATTTGAAAACTGGCTAAGCAACTGTCTAATACAAATGTTAAATTCATAGACCGTTTTTTTTCCATTACCGAATTTAAAAGTCACTAATACAGTGATTTACTAAATGTACTAAAGGTACATAAAAGCAAGCTAAATAGCATAGTGTGCAGTGGATTATGGGTTGACTGTGGGGAGTCCATCGTTTACGTGCTCGTGCGCTTTGAAGGACAAGAATGCATCACTCCATGAAAGGGAAATAGCCCTTGATGAAAAAAAGAAGGAGCTATGAGAAAGCTGGAAGGAGTTGGCCAGCTCCTTATTGACGGAAACAACAAACTTGAAGAGTTCATTCAAAAGCAGTGATAGAGCTGGCACAAGCGCAGCAGAGATAATGACAGAAACTGCTACAGGGCTATCACAGAGGTTTAACACAGAGTCAATCTGAGCTGAGAAAGAGGCAGAAAGGTACCGAGTGTCATAAACGAAAACTACCGGTAATTGAAAAAAAATTAGGAGAAGTTCCACTTCCTACAAAAATGCCAAGATTGACTGTTTCGCTACCAAAGCAGGCAACAAAAAGAGAGGAAATCCAATGTTAGGAACACTACTGAAACAACCTAATAGCAGTAGTGATGTAGTTAACCTTGAACTGGGCTGTAATTTGCGGATGCTTTACCTGATCTGAAAGACTTTTGTTCACATTGGCTTTCATTTAATCTAGTTTCTGTAATTCCAAGTGTTATTGTCAGTATTTCCATATCGGTATTCACAGAAGTGTCAGTACTGAGGTTTGGACTCGAACTTGTTGATATTGTCAATCATTGTTGAATCGAAAAGAAATTAAGATTATTGCTGTTGTTATTAGTCTTGTATGCCGAGGAGTTCACTGTTTCTGAGATGAAGTTATAATCCCAGAAAAAAATTGTTTTTTTGACTTCCTGAACTAAATGCTGGACTTACTATAAGTTTGAAAAAAAAAATTGATAAAGGGTGTTTCTTTTGTTGGCCCTTTAATCTTGGCAACATGTTAAATGAATAAGTATATCTGGAGAGTCTATAAGATAAAGAACCATGTGTTGGGCCTGTAAGTTACTATCGGATTACTCCTATATTTTTGTAGGTTTGCTGGCTTTTGTCCTATTCGTCAAGACTCTAGGTCCTATATTCCTATATTTTTGGACCCCTAAAGCGCTTGACACCCTGTGAATTACTTAAATTGCCCGGCGGGATGGACAGCACTTTTAGGTCTAGCGGTTCGGTTACAAACTATAACTTCTGGGGGTTGTCTTCGTTTATTTATCTCTATTGCAAATCAAAAGAACTATACACGGACTATGATGTTAGATAAACTTCAAATAAGTTTTAAAAAAGCCATTTTGAATTGAAAGGAAAGAAAATGGTAAGGCTATCTTACTTGATTTCCTGATGCATTTCCCCCTTTGCAAAAAGGCACTGATTTGAAGGTAAATATCAACGCCACGAAGACAAGATTGAACTTCATCTCGATCGATAGCTCTTAGCTTTTACCCAGTGAACCACAAACAGAGAACGAAGCTTGCAGTAAGAAAATGGTTCTCTATTTATACCAGAAAGACAAAGGAAAACAAGACCCGCCCATATCATTGATACCTGCCTCGCGACGTGCACATGAGTTTTTTTTTTCAAATATTCATTTGATTTGAATATCTTTCTTGTTGAGCTTTCAAATTTCATCGTTAGCACTGACTCCAGTATTTTGAATTAGTTACTGTTATAAGAGAACCGTATTACATCGTCAAATTGATCTACTGCAAATATCTCAAACGATACTATTAATTTTTCTTTTCGTTTATGCTGCACTGGGATAGTATTTCTCTTGTCTGGGTATTGAGTAAATTACCATATTTTGACGTTTACAATTATTAATTTTTGTGTGAGTAAACTATGGAAGTACTAGGACGCAGTAACTTAAATATTAGCGCCAACGTAACTTAACCTAAATGGTTTGAAATTGAGCTGTTTACCAGAGGAATTGTCCTAAAGTGATCCTTTATTTTGCAGCTATTGTTGTCTTCTTCCGTGCCCTGGCTGCCAAACTTCAATGAGAAAAATGTTTCACGCAGTTTCTGATCATCACTCGGCTGATAAAATAATAATAATAACAATAATAATAATAATAATAATAATAATAATAATAATAATAAAGTTTAATAATTTTATTATTATTTATCCTTTGCGTCACGTTGCCTGTATAGCGAATTTCTTACGCGAATACAAAAGTGAAAATGGGCCGCAGAGATGAAATGTAATGACGACATGTTAAAACACCAACGTAATTGTCTGGTTTCTCCACTTAATAATGATCTGTCCAGAATTTATGATTACCCTTTACCACTAAAGAATAATTTTAAAAATAAGGTCACGTGACCATTTTATTCCTCTAATTTTTCTCCGTTTTAGACAGAATTTGAATCTATGCAGCAAGTCAATGAACACTGCATCGTTCTCTGTCTGTGGCATAGTTAAACACCATGACGTCATGACACATCATAAAACACGTGACCACAGTTAAAAACCCTTAAAATGTTGAGGATGTTGAATTATTTGTGCCTCGTGCTTCAAAAGGTCGAAGGAACTTAATTAACACTACTTTTATTTAAGAAAGCTTATTTCTCCGCGGGGGATTTAAGATCAGAGAAAGGGCCAGCATGCTTGAGTTATCACTAATCCTACTCGCGTGACGGACCACACAAGTTCAGCTATTGATCTCAAATTTGTAAATAACACAAATCGTTTCAAGTTCTATGTCAATGGCGACGTAGTTTTTTGCTCAGATATACCTGGCAGGTATTGAGCCTGCTGCTAGCTCTATTAACTATGCCCTGAAAACCCCCATCGTGCCGCCTTAAAATCCAACGACGCGAAGGCAACGACAGCAACGTCGCGTATTTGGACATATTTAATATCCGACGCTATAGAACCGCATCGCGCCGCAACGCATCGTAAATATTATGGAAAAAGAGATAGAGACAACAAGCATATGTTTAGAAAAAGTACATCAGCAAAATTTATTTCCTCATGATAGAAGTTAACTCTGTTTCTCTTGAAATTTAAGAAGAACCCGCGTGGGCTCCCTTTGCAGGTAAGCCCACGTCGTAAGGCAGGCAGCCCAGATGAAGTGTAAGTCAATATATTATACACATGATTTAAAAACGTTATCGCTTGAAAAGTATAAACCGTGAACGATGAGACCTAATGGATCTATGGGAAAAACTTTGTTAGCATTGCAAATTTAAAGTTTTCAACTCAAAAACTTTTTTCAAATGGCGTGTTTAGCGCCCAAAAAGCAAAACATCTTGACGTCACAACAATGTTTACATACTCTCATGCAAACACGCCTCTCGGCCAATCAGAGCACGCGTACTATCTTAGTTATTTTGTAATAAATAATATTACCTAAAACTCATCTGGTAGTTATTATAAGTAATGAAAAAATCTATTAAATCATGAAAGTGATATTGAAAGAAAGAAATTCTCAACTCCGGCATGTCAATACAGTCCGTCCATCCTTTCGACATCGCGTGAATTCTTGACTTCATGTATTGCCGTTATGGTTTCTCTCTTCATTTTTGTTAACGTGAAAGTGAAAAACAGCAATCAGCACTTTTCAACTCAACCGAGTTTGATAACGCGATCATTATCGAGAACAAAATAAGACAATACAATATTATTATAACACTAAAGACTAGTGTTGGGCAGGATTAATTTTCATACCGAATGAACAATTACAACAGCTCACAAAACTTATTATTTACCATCCACAAGTACAGAGTACTCCTACAAAGGTTGCACTTGGGTGGGATACTGTCTGAGTCAAAATAGTGGATGTAATTCTAATTCATTCCGGGCGCAACTGCAACGAATCACCAGATGTGGTCCTATAATCTTTCAAGTCGTAGAAAAAATATTCAACAAAGTATCTCGTATGAAAAAATTGGGCTAAAGCTCAACTCCTAAGTGGAGTGCCGAGAACGCTTCTTGAATAGCTCTTCCACAGGCTAATTCAGATGAGTATCCACCAGCTTTCTCTCCCTCAGTAGGGCTGCGCACATGCCTCAGGTACCTAAACAAAGAAACATAACGTTACAGGACACAGCACAACAAACAGGTACGAGTAAAATGTACGGAAAAGCGGGTAAAAAAAAAAACCAAATCCAAAAAGAAAAACATGCAACTTGTCTTACAACATTGCTAAAACACGAGTTGAATAGCCGCGATATTGCGCGATTTACCACCCAAATCAAACCTGTCCTGCAACGAATCAGGTTGTAATAAGGTTTGATCGTGGGTGGTAAAACGCGAAACATAGTTTTCAGCAAAACAAGTAGTACGTTTTTGTTGAACGTTTTACCCAAGCCTAAAAGTTGCGAGACATGTCGTCAGCTTCATAATTCCTCAGACTCAAACCAAGTATTTAAGACAAGGCACACACGATTTGAGTCTGACACGCTCTTTCATGAGGGGCCAGTCAATTTTCTGTACCCTGTCCGATGTCGAGGCACCGTCCAACGCTCATCAGAATATAAAATGAAATGATCAGGAATTCTTAAATGAAGAAATTGAATCAGTTCGCTAAAATTTTAAGGTCTTTAAACATCTATAAATGCAGTGACTTCCTGTGATTGAGAAATAGAAATAAAAATAACAATAATAATAATAATAATAATAATAACGATGACGATGATGTCGATGACGACGACGACGATGATGATGATGATGATAATTCCTTTATTTACCCTCGGTAGTATTTATAGCACTAATGTTAGTAGGGCCGAGCAAATGCCTGAAACAAATAATTCACATTGAATTTAACAGGGCCAAAGAATCCCAGCTGGCCGGAGATAAACTAACTGGCTACAAGAATGGCCGAGGATTTGAACTCGGGACTACCGTGAACATATCCAGCTAGCGGTCAGGGTGGGACTTGAGCCCGGGACCTTCGAATTGCAAGGCCAGCGCTCTAACCACTCGGCCAATGAAAAGACACTATTATTTTTTAATGTGAACTTACCCTCTTGCAGCAAGAGTCTCCATTCCTGGGGCAGTGGGTCCATCGTTCACTACCTCTGGAGCAACGTACACGAATGCGGGGCCTTCAAAGGACGGTAAGGGAGCGAACGTCTCCTGAGACTTAAAACAAGGTGGACAGATCATCACATACCGCCATTCTACTTTGCAAAGGGTCTGAACAGAAGTTATACAAACACAAGTCTTTTAAAGTTTATATCTGCAAAGAAACTTGCTTTTACGACGTTCTTCTCACGCGCAAACGATATTTTATTATTTTATGAACTATCGTTCACAAGAGAACCGACGGAAATCGTGAACGCATAACGTTTACTGGTTTATACGCTCAACCATTTAACCCCTTCAGTTGACCAACATCATATTTATCCTCTTAGTAACACTGCTCAATCAATCATAAAGGTTCTGAGAAAATAAGGAACAACTAAAACAATTTTTGATTATTAAACGAAGTCTCTTCACCAGTACTAAAGGTAATGTATATAGAACTGTGTGGACAAACTTGTAAAGAAAAAGACAAAATTGTTTATGCACGCTCGGACTGTGAGGAGTCTCTCTTTTGCCTCAGATTTAGTTAGAAAGGTACACTCGCGCGCGAGCGTCACGAGAAGCAAGAAACGAGGGCGCCTCTACCCTGTCACACCTTCAGTCGTACGCATGGTCATTTTCGCTCGATGGAATAAGAACAACGGGAAGCCGCTCATAGTCTGATTCACGTTTACATAGTCTGAAAACTTCGTATAAGCAAATGCCAGGTCGTAGTTGCAGAAAGGGCGGCAAAGACGTGTCCAAAAGCGTCATGCACTCGCACAGTTGTTGTCGGTTTTCGTATCAAATATTCATACAGTTGTCGCCATCGTCGTCTGCTGATAGAAGCTTTTCAGGACCTACCTTCTTTGATGTAGAAAACTGAGTGCTGCTTCCTGAAAACAATAAAGACTTTTTCTGCAACTTGCTAGTATGTTCAGCGATGATGTCTTCCAAAGGACGGTCCCCTTTGGTCTGCAAGAGAAATACAATCTACATTGTTAGCTCGCGAGAATGACAAAATGTGAGTTAAAACTGGCTCATTAGGCCCAGTTCGTATTTGCTCTTGGAAAAGGTGGAGCGAACAAAAACCAGCAGGTGCTACTTTGAGCACCAATTACTGCCCGCGTAGCAAGCGTTACTTTTCATGAAATAAATTAATACTGATCCCTATAATTATTCATTTGACGGTTTTAATGCACTCTACCTATTGAAATATATCGTATGACGCATCATAATTGTAACATCCATTAAAATAAACCAAATTTGTGTTTAATTAATATTTGACGTTTCAGTTATTAATATTTGACCGAAGATCTCTCTCTTGTTTCAGGGAAGGGTAATAATTTGTAAAGAGAGCATTCAATTGACAACAAAAAAAGTTCGTAAATTATAATAAAAAGGCCCCGCTCGCTCTCTCTCTCTCCCTCCCTCTTTTTTTTTCACAGAATTACGGACCAGAACTGCTTTTGTTACTTGCCCTTACATGTAAGCTAAAAGTAGATGGAAGCGATTTTCAACTAGAGCAAGACTAGCGCAATACCCAAATATATTTGGAACTTCGATGAATACAGGCTCTTATTTTAAGATAAGAAAGACTGAATATTGTGCAGGTCCATTTTCTGACATTTGGCTCATTATGCAACACTACTAGATTGCATTAAAATTGGACACTGTATTTTATGGTTCAAATTGCCGGTTAATTCACTTTTCATGGAACCGCCTCTTCTCAGTTTAGGAAGTTACTGTATAACGCTCTTACCAGTTTTGGTCGGATCACTTTGAAGGAAGTTTGAATTCAAATTAATGTTTCATTCTCCTTGCAGAGACCTTGTCTATTGGGTTTTTAAGGACGCAGTTTGCGGTGAAAAAATAAAAAAAAACTACATGTAGTTTGCTCAAAACCTTAGGTGGGACAAGATCTATGAAAGAGGAACACAACGCCAGCACCTTCCCTATAACCGGCACGTTTGATTTCCTTGCAAAAACAGTAGCAAGTTCAATTAAGTGGTACACTGTAGGCGAATTGACGGTAAGCGAATAACTGGTTATAAAATGTTTCGGCAAAATTCGTTACCAGACTATCAAGAAATTCTTCGTTTTCTTTCTTCTTGTTATTTTTCTCTTGTTTCTCCAATAAGGCTGCTTGGGCCCGGCGAAGCTCTGCTTGTTTTTGTTCTTCCTCAATTTGGGAAAAAACGATAGCTTCTTCTCTCCCCTGATAAAACAAAAATAGTAAAAGAAAAAAGTAAGCAATGCAGCCCTAGAGTTGCTTATATCCGTTGTAGCAAGGAAATGACGCGGATGGCGGCAAATAGCGTGGCTAAGGTCACGTGTATATGAAGAAATGTTTCCCCAGGTAGAGGGTTCACCCACCTATACATTTCCGTTACAAAACTTGACGGACTGTTCACAATAGAAATACAAAGTTGGTTCAGCAGGGTCACCCTTTTCTGGGTTGGGATATCCAGCGATTTCGAGAAAAGTTGTCGGAAAAAATGTGCACGCGAAAATCCCGTAAGTAAATATGGGATATGATCAATACACTGTTCCTGACACTGTAGCTGTTGAACCTACTTTTCTTGCTTTCCTTTAGCACTCACAAACATACATCAATGGCCTCTCATACCATTCTTTCAAATTTCTTTGAAGAACAATAAATTCAAAACCAACCACAAAACCTTTTGGGATTCTCCCTTTGGGATTGCACCTTTACCCACAATCTCTCTCGAGGTAGCTGTAAACACTTTGGCTTACCCAGCCAGGTCGCCTCGATCAAAGAGAGACAATCAGAGCATGCGTGAGCGTTGTTGCCTCAGCAAAATAGTGAGCATTTTTCTCATATAAACGCTCACTAAAGTTGACTCAGCTGGGAGGGTAACCCTTCTCAGTATACGGGACTGGTTTTGTCCATATAAACGAGGCCTAAGGCGCGAGTTAATAATAAAGCGAGAACCATAAGGTAAAAACAGTGCGCGGGTTTCAGGTAAATAATGCGAGTTACGGGTAGGTACTGTGAAACGCAGGTAAAGACTACAGGTCACGGGTAAATAGTGCGGGTCTCGAGCGGCGGATTGTGAGTAATTTACCATAAGGTAAAAACAGTGCGCGGGTTTCAGGTAAATAATGCGAGTTACGGGTAGGTACTGTGGAACGCAGGTAAAGACTACAGGTCACGGGTGAATAGTGCGGGTCTCGAGCGGCGGATTGTGAGTAAGTGGATGAGATTAAAGGTGGGTGAAAAGAAATTGGTTAAACTTACCAGCTTAAAATTATTTTTCCTTATTAGATTTTCATTGTCTTTCTTGTATTTTTCTACTTGTTTCTTTGTCTCCTCAACATCTTCCCCATTTGCGAGATTCCAAAGCCATCGTCGTCTGCTGATAGAAGCTTTTCAGGACCTACCTTCTTTGATGTAGAAAACTGAGTGCTGCTTCCTGAAAACAATAAAGACTTTTTCTGCAACTTGCTAGTATGTTCAGCGATGATGTCTTCCAGAGGACGGTCCCCTTTGGTCTGCAAGAGAAATATAATCTACATTGTTAGCTCGCGAGAATGACAAAATGTAAGTTAAAACTGGCTCATTAGGCCCAGTTAGTATTTGCTCTTGGAAAAGGTGGAGCGAACAAAAACCAGCAGGTGCTACTTTGAACACCAATTACTGCCCGCGTAGCGAGCGTTACTTTTCATGAAATAAATTAATACTGATTCCTATAATTATTCATTTGACGGTTTTAATGCACTCTACCTATTGAAATATATCGTATGACGCATCATAATTGTAACATCAATTAAAATGAACCAAATTTGTGTTTAATTAATATTTGACGTTTCAGTTATTAATATTTGACCGAAGTTCTCTCTCTTGTTTAAGGGAAGGGTAATAATTTGTAAAGAGAGCATTCAATTGACAACAAAAAAATTTCGTAAATGATAATAAAAAGGCCCCGCTCGCTCTCTCTCTCTCCCTCCCTCTTTTTTTTTTCACAGAATTACGGACCAGAACTGCTTTTGTTACTTGGCCTTACATGTAAGCTAAACTAAGTAGATGGAAGCGATTTTCAACTAGGACAAGACTAGCGCAATACCCAAATATATTTGGAACTTCGATGAATACAGGCTCTTATTTTAAGATAAGAAAGACTGAATATTGTGCAGGTCCACTTTCTGACATTTGGCTCATTATGCAACACTACTAGATTGCATTAAAATTGGACACTGTATTTTATGGTTTAAATTGCCGGTTAATTCACTTTTCATGGAACCGCCTCTTCTCAGTTTAAGAAGTTACTGTATAACGCTCTTACCAGTTTTGGTCGGATCACTTTGAAGGAAGTTTGAATTCAAATTAATGTTTCATTCTCCTTGCAGAGACCTTGTCTACTGGGTTCTTTGGAACGCAGTTTGCGGTAAAAAAATAACAAACTACATGTAGTTTGCTTGAAACTTTAGGTGGGGCAAGATCTATGAAAGACGAATACAACGCCAGCACCCTCGCTATAACCGGCACGTATGATATTCTTTCAAAAAGAGTATCAAGTTCAATTAAGCGATACACTGTAGGCGAATTGACGATAAGCGAATAACTGGTTATAAAATGTTTCGGCCAAATTTGTTACCAGACTATCAAGAAATTCTTCGTTTTCTTTCTTCGTGTTATTTTTCTCTTGTTTCTCTAATAAGGCTGCTTGTGCCCGGCGAAGCTCTGCTTGTTTTTGTTCTTCCTCAATCTGGGAAAAAACGATAGCTTCTTCTCTCCCCTGACAAAACAAAGATAGTAAAAGAAAACAATAAGCAAGGCAACCCTGGTCTGGAGTTGCTTATATCCGATGTAGCACGGAAATGACGCGGATGTTGGAAAAGTAGCGTGGCTAAGGTCACGTGTATATGAAGAAATGTTGCCCCAGGTAGAGGGTTCACCCACCTACCTAAGCTACCCTGGGCGAGCCATACATTTCCTCACAAAACTTGGCGGACTGTTTACAATAGAAATACAAAGTTGGTTCAGCAGGGTCACGCTTTTGTGGGTAGGGTCACCCTCCTAACTGGGCCAACTTTTCTTCATATACAGCGATTTCGAGAAAATGTGCACGCGACAATCCCGTAAGGTAATGTGGGATATGATCAATACACTGTTCCAGACACTGTAGCTGTCGAACCTACTTTTGTTGCTATCCTTTAGAACCCGCAAACATACGTCCATGGCCACTCGAGCGATTCTTTCAAATTTCTTCGAAGAACAGTAAATTCAAAACCAAACACAATAGCTTTCGGGATTGTCGCGTGCACCTTTTCCCACTACCTTTCTCGAGATAGCTGTAAACGCTTTGGCTTACCTCGGTAGGTCGCCTCGATCAAAGAGAGGCAATGAGAGCATGCGCGAGCGCTGTTGCCTTGGGAAAAATTGTGAGCATTTTTCTCATATCACTAAAGTTGACTCAGCTGGGAGGGTAACCCTTCTCAGTACACGGGATAGGTTTTCTGCATATAAACGCGGCCAAAGGCGCAAGTTAACAATAAAGCGAGAACCACAAGATAAAAACGGTGCGCGGGTTTCAGGCGAATAATGCGAGTTACGGGTAAATAGTGCGGGTCTCGAGCTGCGGATTGTGAGTAAGTGGATGAGATTAAAGCTGGGTGAAAAGAAATTGGTTAAACTTACCAGCTTAAAATTATTTTTCCTTATTAGATTTTCATTGTCTTTCTTGTATTTTTCTACTTGTTTCTTTGTCTCCTCAACATCTTCCCCATTTGCGAGATTCCAAACTTCAAACGAAAGGAAAAAAGTCGCATGATATACCGCTACTTAACTATTGTCTATAATGCCGGCATACAACTTACTACAAGAACTACACGTACAGGATCCATCTCATTGCATGTCAAGTTATTTTCGTTCACAATAATTAAAAATCCCTGTTCAACAATAAATTGAATTGTGATATGGTTGAGATGTCTGACTGTTAAAGTATACATACATGCTAGACTAGTCTGACTAGAATAAAAACGGTAAATATGACAGAGACATTTAACGTCGGACGACTTTAACGTCTTCTACTAAGCGTTTCCTTTAGTCGCACTTAACGGACGACTTTAATGTCTCAGTAGTTAAAAGTGTGTAGTATACAAATGGGACACCATCAACTGGGACTTAAGCCCAGCTCAACCAGAAACGAGTTGGAAAAGTCAGAGTTAAATAATTTGTCCTTTTTTTTTTAGAAAACTCCAGCGTTTTTTCAATGTTCTCATCTACTTTTATGCGTCAAGTTTTTACAGAAGATCATTCTAGCGTTTCTAGCATAAAAACGACCAATATTGATATTTTTCTCTCATTACAAAAATAATAAATGCCATTCAGAAGGAAACAATCATGTGTCTATTAACATTATATTCATACTTATAGTCTCTACTTCCTCCAGGTAGTCATTGTAGGATCTTAGGGGATCAGTGGCTGTCTGGAAATCTTCCTCAAGCTTGTTATAACTATTAACAAGTAAGCAAAATAACATGGTACTTGTATATTAAGCTGAAATGAACAAAATAAGAGTTGATATGTACACACAACTGCACTGAGAATACTGTATTGAACTATATTTTCCAACATTTTGATTTTACGATTGGAAATTATTAATTTTACAACACTTTCATGATTTAAGAGATTCTGGAAAAAGTAGACACTCTCTTTTCCCAGTTATTCACAACTTCAAATTTCAATAAAACGCTGAAATATTAATTAATTATTAGTGTGTGTACCAAAATGTTTGTGAAAGCTGCTCAACTCTCGATCCTGATCCTGATAAAAATATATAGTCTGAGCATAATTTGTTTTTCAGCATAATAAGAAAGTATTATTACCAGAAATAACCAAAGGTCACGGAGTGCGAACGACAACGATCGAGGGTCAAAACGCTTTTGCTCCATCACTGTGCTTTGCGTAGGTTTCAAAGGTGACAGATGGTCAAAACACGCGTGATCAGATTACGAGTGATAGAAAGTCCAAACGCGCGCGATCAAAGTGCGTTCTGTGCATTCCATACATTCGTAGTGGAAGTCCAAACTTATGCTGGCTACACACATGCGACGCATGCGTAATAACAACCTGGAGATTAGGATGATGGGCTCGTCCTGTCGCCCGCAATTATTTTCACATTCAACATGATTGGAAGAAATGACACATTTCTTACATCTTCAAAATCTTTTTCCTTATGTCCACCTCCTTCTCGACAATAAGATCTTCAAATTGTTGAATTCTAAAGTCATTTCGCCTTAGAGCTGTGTTACACTCTGGGCATGCTGCTGATGGCCGTGTGAAAAGGGTCTCTACACAGCTTTCACACCTAACAGAACAAAATAGGGGACAAAATTACTTGTCTGGAAATAATAACGAAAAGAAAAAAAAAACACGAAGAAAGACGAATCAGAGAGAAACCACCAAATCTATTGACATCGCTATGTCGATCTTTATACTTTTAACCAGAGCTTTTTTTTATCTTAAAATCGTTTTACCTTCTGTTACCTACTATTTATGCCTGTGGGTTTTTTTCTCTTGCTGCCAAGATTATTTGATTAGTTGGTTTCATAAACAACTCAAAACACTCTAGAGCCATTTGGAAGCTCAAGCAAATTGGTTTTCATTGAATAATCTCTAAGAACTACAGTTATTAGCTCACAGCAGAGCTCTCTCTCACACGAACCGCTCGCAGCAAAGCACCATGGAAAGAAATAGTCTGGAATAATAGTATGGAACAGTGTGGAATAGTGTGGAACGATATGGTGGAACAGTGCAACAGTAACAGTATGGTAGAAGAGTGGAAGTGTGGATCAGTGTGGAACAGGACGGTGGAACAGTATGGTAAAACAGTGGAACAGTGTGGTGAAACAGTGTGGAACAGTGTGGTGGAACAGAGGAACAGCGTGGTGGAACAGTGTAGAATACCATGGTGGAACAGTGGAACAGTGTGGCACAGTGTGGTGGAACAAAGTGGAACTGTATGGTGGAGCAGTGAAACAGTGTCGTGCGACAGCGCCGTGAAAAGAGGGGTGGAACAGTGTGGAACAGTACTGTGAAACAGTTTGGTGGAAAAGTGTGGTGCAACAGGAGAACAGCATGGTGGAACAGTGGAACAGTAGAACAGTGCTACACAGTGTGGTGGAACAGTGTGGAACAGTATGGTGAAAAAATGTGGAACAGTACAGTAAAACAGTGGAACAGTATGGTGGAACAGTGGAACAGTGGCACAGTATGGTGGAACAGTGGAACAGTAGGGTGGAACAGTGTGGAACAGTGTAATGGAACAGAGAAACAATGCGGCGGAACAGTGCAGAACAGCATGATGGAACAGTGAAACAGTGTGGCATAGTGTGGTGGAACAGTGTGGAAAAGTGAGGTGGAAAATTGGAAAAGTATGGTGGAACAGGGAAACAGCATGGTGGAACAGTGGCCAGAACAGTGTGGAACAGTATGGTGGAACAGTGTGGAACAGTACGGTGGAAAAGTGGAACAGTATGGTGGACGAGTGAAACTGGAGAGGAACAGTGAGTGGAACAGTATGGAACAGTGTGGGACCGTATGGTGGAACAGTGTGGAACAATATGGTGGAACAGTAGAACGGTATGGTGGAACAGTGGAACAGTGTGGTGGAACAGTGTGGCACAGTGTGGTGGAACAGTATGGTGGAACAGTGGAACAGTGTGGTGCAACAGTGTGAGCAGTGTGGTGGAACAGTGTGGAAAAGCATGGTGGAACAGTGGAACAGTGTGGCACAGTGTGGTTGAAGAGTGTGGAACAGTACTGTGGAGCAGTGGAACAGTGTGGTGGAAAAGTGTGGCACACTGTGGTGGAACAGTGTGGAGCAGTATGGTGGAACAGTGGAACAGTGTGGTGCAACAGTGTGAGCAGAGTGGTGGAACAGTGGGACAGCATGCAGCAGTAGAAAGGCATGGTGGAAAAGTGGCACAGTCTGGAACAGTATGGTGGAACAGTGAGGAATATTAGGGTGAAACAGAGGAACAGTATGGTGGAACAGTAGAAAAGTACGGTGGAATGAAACAGTGGAACAGTACGGTGGAACAGTGGAACAGTATAGTGGAAGAGTGGAAAAGTGTGGTGGAACAGTGTGGTGGAATAAGGAAACAGTATGGTGGGACAGTGTGGAACAGCATGGTGGACCAGTGGAACAGTGTGGCACAGTGTGGCACACTGTGGTGGAACAGTGTGGTACAGCATGGTGGAACAGTGAAACAGTATGGTGTAACAGTGGAACAGTATGATGGGACAGTGGAACAGTGTGGTAGAACAGTGTGGAACAGTATGGAACAGTATGGTGGAATAGTGGAACAGTGTAACAACATGTGGTGGAACAGAGAAAAAGTGTGATAGAACAGTCAAGAATAGCAGGGTGGAACACTGTGGAACATGGTGGAACAGTGTATAACAGTGGAACAGTGGAACAGTAGGGTGGAACAGTGTTGAACAGTGTAATGGAACAGAGAAACAATGTGGCGGAACAGTGCAGAACAGCATGATGGAACAGTGAAACAGTGTGGCATAGTGTGGTGGAACAGTGTGGAACAGTGTGGTGGAAAATTGGAAAAGTATGGTGGAACAGGGAAACAGCATGGTGGAACAGTGTAGCACAGCATGGTAGAACAGTGGCCAGAACAGTGTGGAACAGTATGGTGGAACAGTGTGGAACAGTACGGTGAAAAAGTGGAACAGTATGGTGGAACAGTGAAACTGCAGTGGAACAGTGAGTGGAACAGTATGGAACAGTGTGGGACCGTATGGTGGAACAGTGTGGAACAGTATGGTGGAACAGTAGAACAGTATGGTGGAACAGTGGAACAGCGTGGCACAGTGTGGCACACTGTAGTGGAACAGTGTGGAACAGCATGGTGGAACAGTGAAACAGTATGGTGTAACAGTGGAACAGTATGATGGGACAGTGGGACAGGGTGGTAGAACAGTGTGGAACAGTATGGTGGAATAGTGGAACAGTGTAACAACATGTGGTGGAACAGTGAAAAAGTGTGATAGAACAGTCAATAATAGCAGGGTGGAACACTGTGGAACATGGTGGAACAGTGTAGAACAGTGGAACAGTGAAACAGTGGAACAGTATGGTGGAACAGTGGAACAGTGTGGTGCAACAGTGTGAGCAGTGTGGTGAAACAGTGTGGAAAAGCATGGTGGAACAATGGAACAGTGTGGCAGGCTGTGGAGGAACAGTGGAATAGTGTGGAAAAGTATGGTGAAACAGTGGAACAGTGTGGAACAGTGTAGTGGAACAGTGGAAGTGGTACAGTATGGTGGAACATTGGAACAGTGTAGTGGAACAGTGTGGTGGAACACGGGAACAGCATGGTGGAACATTGGAACAGTATGGCACAGTGTGGTGGAACAGTGTGGAACAGTGTGTTGGAACAGGGGAACAGCATGATGGAACAGTGGGACAGTGTGGCACAGCGTGGTGAAAGAGTGTGGAACAGTGCGGTGGAACAGTAGAACAGTATGGTGGAACAGTGAAACAGTGTGTGCGGAACAGTGTGGTGGAATAGTGTAGAACAGCATAGTGCAACAGTGGAACAGTGGAACAGTGAAACAGTGTGGCACGGTGTGGTGGAACAGTGTGGAACAGTATGGAACAGTATGGTGGAACAGTGTTGAACAGTACCGTGGAACAGTGGAACAGTGTGGTGGAACAGTGAAACAGTGCAGTGGAATGGTGTGGAACAGTGTGGTGGAACAGGGAAGAGCATGGTGGAAAAGTGGAACAGTGTTGCCGGGTGTGGTGGAACAGTGTGGGACAGTATGGTAGAACAGAGTGGAACAGTACGGGGGAACAGTAGAACAGTACGGTGGAACAGTGGAACAGTGTAGAACAGCATGGTGGAACAGTGGAACAGTGTGGCACAGTGTGGTGGAACAGTATGGTAAAACAATGTGGAACAGTATGGTAGAACAGTATGTTGGAACAGTGGAACAGTGTGGTGGAGCTGGGGTATAGCATGGTGGAACAGTGAGGAACAGTATGGTGGAACCGTGGAACAGTACAGTGGAACAGTGGAACAGCGTGATGGAACAGTGAAACTGTGGCAGAACGTGTGGAACAGTGTGGTGCAACAGGGGAACAGCGTAGTGGAACAGTGTAGAACAGCATGGTGGAACAGTGGAACATTGTAACAGAGTGTGGTAGAACAGTGTTGAACAGTGGAACAGTGGGGAGCAGTGTAGTGGAACAGTGGAACAGTATGGTGGAACATTGGAACAGTGAGGTGGCACAGTGTCGTGGAACAGGGAAATCGCATGATGGAACTGTGGAACAGTGTGGAAGAGTACGGTGGAACAGTGGAACAGTTTGGTGGAATAGTGAAACAGTGTGGTGGAACAGTGCGGAACAGTGTGGTGAAACAAGGGAACAGCGTGGTGGAACAGTGTAGAACAGCATGGTGGAACAGTGGAACAGTGTGGCACAGTATGGTAGAACAGTGTGGAACAGGATGGTGGAACCATGGAACAGTGGAACAGTGTACAGTGTGGTGGAACAGTGGGGAACAGTATAATGGAACAGTAGAACAGTATGGTGGAACAGTAGAACAGTATGGTGGAACAGTGAAACAGTGTGGTAGAACAGTGTGGAACAGTGTGGTAGAACAGTGTGGAACAGTGTGGTGAAACAGGGGAACAGCGTAGTGGAACAGTGTAGAACAGCATGGTGGAACAGTGCAACATTGTGGCAGAGTGTGGTAGAACAGTGTGGAACAGTATGGTGAAAAGTTGGAACAGTATGGTGGAACAGTGGATCAGTGGAACAGCATGGTGGTGGAACAGTGGAACAGCATCATGGAACAATGCAGAACAGCATGGTGGAACAGTGGAACAGTGTGGCACAGTGTGGACCATTATGGTGAAACAGTGGAACAGTGTAGTGCAACAGTGTGAGCAGTGTGGTAGAACAGTGTGGAAAAGCATGGTGGAACAGTGGAGCAGTAAGACACAGTATGGAACAGTATGGTGGCACAGTGGAGCAGTGTAGTAGGACAGTGTGGAACAGCATGGTGGAACAGTGTGGCACAGTGTAGTGGAACAGTGTGGAACAGTATCGTGGAACAGTGGAACAGTGTGGAACAATGTGGTGGAATAGTGGAAGAGTGTGGTGGAATAGTGGAACAGAATGGTGGAACAATGGAACAGTATGGTGGAACAGTATGGCACAGTGTGGTTGAACAGTGTGGAACAGTACGGTGGAACAGTATGGTGGCACAGTAAGTTAGTGGAGCAGTGTAGCAGAACAGAGTGCAACAGCATGGTGGAACAGTGTGGTACAGTGTGGGGGACAGTGTGGAGCAGGATGGTGGAACAGTGGAACAGTGTGGTGGAACAGTAGAACAGTGTGGTGCAACGGTGTGAGCAGTGTGGTTGAACAGTGAACCAGTATGGTGGAACGGTGGAACAGAATAGTGGAACAAAGGAACAGTATGGTGGAACAGTATGGCGCAGTGTGGTTTCACAGTATGGAACAGTACGTTGGAACAGTTAGTGGAACAGTAGAACAGTATGGTAGAACAGGGAAATGGTATGGTGGACCAGAGGGACAGTTTGGTGGAACAGTGAAACAGTATGGTGGAACAGTGGAACAGTGGAACAGTGTGAGCAGTGTGGTGGAACATTGGAACAGTGTGGAACAGTATGGAACTGTATGGTGGAAAAGTGGAAGAGTGTGGCAATGTGTGGTGGAACAGTAGAACAGTGTGGTGGAACAGGGGAGCAGTGTGGTCAAACAATGTGAAAGAGTATGGTGGAACACTATTGAACAGTATGGTGGAAGAGTGGAGGTGTGGAACAGTGAAACAGTGTGGAAACAGTCTGGTGGAACAGTGGAACAGTACAGTGGAGCAGTGGAACAGTGTGCAACAGTATGGAACAGTATGGTGGAACAGTGGAACAGTATGGTGGAACAGTGGAACAGTGGGGAACAGTGTGGAACAATGCGGTGGAATGTGTGGAACAGTGTGGTGGAACAGCGTGAAGGAACAGTGTGGAAGAGTATGGAACAGTTTCGTGGAACAATGGGGAACAGTGGAAGTGTGCAACAATGGAACAGTGAGGTGGAACATTGGAACAGTGTGGTGGAACAGTGTGGTGGAACAGAGGAAGAGTGTAGTGAACAGCGGAACAGTGTGGTGGAACAGAGGAATGGTGTGATGGAACAGTCTGAGCAGTGTTGAACAGTGTGGTGGAACATTGGAACAGTATGGTGGAACAGAGGGACAGTGTAATGGACCAGTGTGAGTAGTGCGGAATAGTATGTGTGAACAGTGGTACAGTATATGGAATAGTTGAAAAGTGTGATGGAACAGTGTGGTGCTGTTAAGTCTTGCATATAAAAGGACTCATCCACTTAGCGAAGGATGAATACTCCCTAATTTGCCGCACCTTATACAACAACATTGTCTTGATGTTTTTGAGGGCTGAGACCCTCTCCTGTTTTGTAATACTTTGAGTTCACATAAATAGATCTCAGGAGACCAAATACATAAATAAGTTTGGCAATGTGAGATCTGCATGAACTGGTTACAAATCAAGAAAACCTTTAGAATACAATTAAAGAAACTAAGCTGGAATCCTATATTCTTTTCTTTTGTTCCAGGAGTATATTTTCTCAGTACAATGTTATCGACCCCGACAGAACATTTTATGACTTGAGGACTTACAGTTTGTGCCCGCAAACATTCACCAACAACTTCAATTTCGGATTTCGGTACTTGGTGGTCTTACATCGTGGGCAAATTTGCCAGTCGTCCATATTGAATACAATTCATTGAACTAGAAAACTACTAAATCAGACATGACTAGACAGCTTTTCTTCGAGAAATCAACAAACAAGCCAACAACCCCCCAAATTTTCACGTGTTTTTTTTCTCAACTACAAGGATTTGTCGTTTGGTATCGCTGGCTCAATAATGTGTTATAACAAGCTTTCTGATTGGTGGTCTGTAATAGTACAGATATTCCTATTGGTCAGTTCCTGTAGAGGCCCTTGTCGGCTGCATCAAGGATGAAAACAGTGCAATGGCGCCGGATTCGTGAATAAATCGCCACATTGTTGGTGATAAATATCGAAAAAGAAGAGCTCCGTGCAAGATGGGGGACATAAGCCTTGATATGATACAGGAATTTTTTAGCCTCAAGCCGCTTACCAAAACCAACACATTAACACCCGCAAAGATAAGCGGACGTTGGAACGTTCCAACTCAAACCAATGCTTTTCAACAGGAGTTTAAATTACCAAAGAAGACGAATCCACAGAGGTAGGATATGAACATACTTCCTTCTGTTTGGTTTTCTATGGGTTACTTTTTCAATACCTCGAATTACGGATGTCGGCGAAGCGCTGCAAACACTGTAAACAAGGATATAATTCATGTACTTTGCCTGGTCTACGTATTTGCGGGTGACAAGAGGAGCCCGCAATCCAAATCTCCAGGTCAGGGTCAGGTCGGGTTGAAAAAAACATCTTAAGATTAAGGGAATGGTAACTATTCTTTCAAAACAACAGCTTGTTGTTCCAGAACAAAAGTTAAGGGCCCTCTTATCTTAAGAAGGTTTAATGCAACCTGGCCCAGGGGTGAGCCATTGCAGCTTTTCGACTAGTTGTAGGCCTGGCTGACTTTCATTTCCACATATCCTGAAATTGCACACATGACTAGTACGCACTGACCTCACCAACACTTTGAGCTCTTAAGCTTTTTAGCTCACCCCAGCAACGCATTATTTTCTAACTTGTGGATTACAAGCAGCATAAGGAACAAGTTATTGTGGGCACTGAGATATGCACTGTGTTGGCTCCACATGAAAGTGCCTGATATTAAAATGACAACTGTTGTAGATTGTTCCCATTTCTTGATGTGCTGATTTCACAAGAGTCACAGGACCACGGTCTTCATGTGGACTTTGAATGTTTCAATTTAAGGCTATGGCCAACTTTGAGACAGAAGTTTATGAACTTTTGAAGATTTTTGACTCGTCCAGGTGATAAATATGATGAAAAGATCGGCAATTGCTTTTCAACTCCCAGGCTGGTCCAAGCTCACGATTCTGCCATGAGTCTCCCGATTTTTTAACTTTTCTCAGGACAAGACTCCCAATCTCATGGTTTTTAGTGAAATATAATTCTGAAATGAAATGTTTCTTTTTCAATAAAAACGGAAATGTTTACTGTTGCTGAATCGTAATTGATTCTCCTCATGTAAATGCTGCAAGCTGCAAGAGAATTCGCGATGGTTTTTCGAGACACTTGTTGGCCATAATGTTCTTCAAATGTGACGAAATGAGTTAAAGTATGGCTTTAACTGTCAAAACCATGCTTGTTTTTCTTGAATATATCTATCGTTTCTTCTTAAGTAAAGCCTTACCAGCTTCAAACAGTGTCAACCAGCAGAATTTCATGGGCAAAAGTGTTAAAAATGATTTAACAGCAGTTTGTATTATCAGTTGTCATGGCGCAATAGGTAACCAGTTGACCTTTCATGTCAGAGGTCTGGGGTCCAACTCTTGCCATTTGAAACTTTTTTTTTTCTTTTTTTGGTCTTTTTGTTTTGTTTTTTTGTAAACCATATTATTTTCATTTTTTGACAGACTTAAAAATTAATATACTGGTAGAGTAATAATTATTGCAGGTTCATTATGAGCTTTCATGTCTAAAATACAGTAATTTATTATTAATAATTCACAAGTTAGCCTTAGGCACCCTTTGATTTTTCCAAGCGGTAGAGTGATAAAACCAAAAATTTGTAGGCCCAGGCCTACAGGTCTATGGGCCAGCTACGCCCCTGCAGGTTGTTATTATGCATGTTTTGCGAGTGTGTAGCCAGCTTTTGTTTGGACTTGTACTAAGAATGAATGGAATGTACAGATGGCAATTTGATCGCAAGTGTCTCGTCCTTCTACCCTCAGAATCTGATCATGCGTGTTTTGTCCATATGTCATATCAAACTTACTCAAAGCACAGCGATGGAGCAAAAGCATTTGAAGCTCTGATCGATGTCACCCACACTTGCTAACCTTTGGTTATTACTACATGTAGTTCTATGTATGATTGCAAATTTAGCCAGGCACGAACAGTGTACATGTGTGAGGATTGTTCATAGTTTTCAAAATATTTTGGAATAAAACCAAAATATGACTGTTTATTTCTCTTTGGATTTCTTGTCTTACTTAAATAATAATTATTATTGAGGGACAAGATGTTGTTCGGAGTTGTTTATATCCAATATCAATTTAGCTTCATATTCCAACAGATTGATGATTGATCATAAAAAATAATAATAAGGTTCTAAAATTTTTCACTTTTATGAAAGATCATTTGGGTGGCGTGGGATGTCTTTTCCTACAGATGTATATTTCTTTTTCTCTATTCCGTTCTCCAGTATCTAAGGATTTGTTTAAATTCGTAGAATCCAACATCAATGTATTTTCAGGAAATAATAACCTCTTTATTCTGCACTCCCATCCCACCATGGGAAGGGAAAAAATGATTAGCCATCACGTGGAAGGCATAATTAGCAATTATTGAATGGGGCTGAGTTCCTAGGATATGAAGGATTCTGCAGATCAAGGAGGATGTTATAACATCCTCTGAGATCTACATAATTCTTCACATCATACGGCAGCCGAATTCAATAATTGTTTTATTATTTTTACTGTTTAACGTATGATGTGTGTTCTTAACAAGCTTACCTTCCCATAGACTTTCTTCAAACTTTGGCCTATTTCTCATCACAGTTTCAGGATATAAATGGATGTTATTCCTTGCAGATACTCCTCAAAAATGTATAATTATAACATTATACATGTATGTTTTGCGTATTTTTTGCATTTCCTCTATTCAGTTATTTAGAAATTATTTTGGCTAAAACGTCTTTGGATAGCCTTAAATGCTCTTCTTTTTTAGTTCACTCCGGAATAGCTGGGCGGCCACGTCAAGAAACGAGGTTGATCAATAGTACATAAACGTATATCATGATAAACCATCAAATATGGTAGCACCAGTTGGTTAAGAAGAATTTGCTGGGGGATTGGAGCCAATCAGAAATGGCAAATATTTTGAATGAAGAATATTAATTTCAAATGATTATTTTGTGCTGAAAAACAACTTTTCCAGTTAGTGGAGGGTGGTGAAGATACCTTGTTCTTGAAGTCATGACCAGAGACATGCAAGCAACACAACTTGATTGGTCTTTTAAGTCTCTCATGAATATTAATGACGGAATCCTGTAGAACCTAGTTATTTGTATTGGAGAGATTAAAAGAGATTTAAAACATGTTTAATCCCTCTTAGAGAAGATGAGTATAGTGTACTTCAGTGTAGTTTTTTTTTCTATCTTTAAATAACTGCATGATTTGCTTAGATACACTGCATTTCATAGACGTAATTATGCTGATTTTTTTGTGCACATACATGAGTTGTTTGTACTTTATTTTTTTTAAGTCCTCCACCATCCCCTGCATATGTTGGAGGTTACTGTTCCACTGGTCCCAAACTTGAAGACCTGTATGATGAGATGGACGAATTTGAAACCAATCCCCCTCCAGGTGCTGCTGATGAAATACCTGCGGCTTTGAGAGAGGAAGAGGATGCTCATATATTTGAGAATTACTCATTTGATCACACATACTCCCCAGACCTTCCCATCACGTCTTATCGACAACAAATTGTGGATACCATTGAGAGTAATTCTGTTACTATTATACAGGGTGAGTTATTAGAGCAACAATAACATTGCTTCTTATACATGTAAGGTTAACTACATGTATCTGTCAAACTACTGTCTTTTTCTTAAGGTCTAGCTGAATGCACAGATTTGAATACAGTCCACTCTCTCTTAATGGACACCCCTATAAGACCAACACCTCTAAAAGTATCTCTTTCATAGGATCCTGTTAGGATAGAACAGGATCCTACATGTAACAGTTTCTCTTACAGGATCCTGATAGAATAGAACATGATCCTAACAGTATCTTTTACAGTATCCTGGCAGGATAGAACAGGATCGTAACAGTTTCTCCCACAGGATCCTGATATGATAGAACTGAATCCCAACAGTATCTCTTACAGGATCCTGTTAGGACAGAACAGGATCCTAACAGAGTCTCTTACAGGATCCTAATAGGGTAGAACAGAATCCTAACAGTATCTTATAATAAGATCCTGTTAGGATAGAACAGGATCCTAACAGGATAAAACAGGATCGTAACAGTATCTCTTACAATTTCCTGATCGGACAGAACAGGATCCTAACAGTATCTCTTACAAGATCCTGATAAGATTGTACAGGATCCTAACAGTATCTCTTTCAGGATTCTGATAGGATAGAACAGGATCTCAACAGTACAATGTATCTCTTACAGCATCCTGATAGGATAGAACAGGATCATAATTATTAATACTCTTAAAATAGGATCCTGGTAGATGTAATAATTTTAATGCAGGGTTCCATTGAAAAAGAGGCGTGTGATGTGGGCTCCCTGTCAAAAAATCTTGGCTGTTTTTATTGATCCTACAATTTTTGTATTTTACATCTATTACACTGCTGTTCACATTACCTTTGTAAGTATTAAAATCTTTTTTGATGTTATTTAGGAGCTACAGGTAGCGGTAAAACCACACAAGTTCCTCAATACATCCTGGATGAGTATGCCAAAGATCAGAGGTATTGCAATATCATTGTCACTCAGCCCAGGCGAATTGCTGCAATAAGCATTTCCAAGCGAGTTTGCCAGGAAAGAGGGTGGACACAGGGAAGCTTGGTAGGGTACCAGGTTGGCAGAGACTCGTGTGTCAGTGAGGACACACGTTTGTCTTATGTAACAACTGGTACACTGCTGCAGAAGTTGATTCATTCCAAGAACAT